AATCAGGAGAGAAAGGCTGGGGAGAAAAATATGGCTTAGCAATATATTCCAAGACAATCACAAAAGGGGGTGGGTGTTCCCCCATCTCCTTGGGAAGACATCAGTGGAAGGATTGCTGTTCACCCACATCTTTACAAATGATCCTTCCTTTGTTCCCATCTCTTCTCCCACTTCTCTTTAATGAGAAAACCACAAAAATCTGTTTTTATTGGTGAATTCTTAATGAACTGACAGGCAAAGGAAAGGAACTCTTTGCCTCTCGTTTAACACCACAGATACCAGAGGAGCTCTGAGAGTTCCTTCGCTCCATGAATTCTTTATGGATATGCTGGAGTAAAGAAGGACACTGAGCAATTCAATCTCCATCTCTCTCATCCATCAGTGGAAGATTCCCACCAAGGGCCCTCTCGATGGCACTCAGAAGGGGTGACACCACCTGCCCAGCAGCACCACGTGCTGAGCAGATTTAACAAGGCACCTTTGAAGAAGATCCAATTCTACTGGGAGTTTCCAAACACCGTGTTCTACTCATTTTTAACAGCTGCTGGATTTTCTATTAAAACTCAAAGAACAACGCACACAAACACTGAATACTTTCACTGTTTCACCCAAAACACAAGCATATTGATCTAGACTGGATTGCTACTCATAAGATCCCACGTTATGAGTCCACTTTACTGCAGAGTGGTCATGTTTGTGAATGAACAGATGGGTTTGCTGCATTTTCCATTAAGCTCTTTTCAAGGAACGCAAGAAAAATTCTTAAAGGCTAGTACTTGACTTTAGAGGACACACTGTCAGCTTCAGCACGGAAGCAAGCTTCAATTCTTCTTGCACAAAAAGCATGCATTCCTTCCACGACTGAGACACAAGCCATTGAAAAAAATTTGAAAAAAAAAAAACGTTTTTTCACCTTGATATAAAACATTGGCATATCACATTTAAACCATAAATACTGCAGCATTAAGAACCTGAGGTAGAACAGACACTGATGATCTGCAAATGTCTAAAGCAGCAGACATTCACATGTAGGGGAATTTTTTAGATCTGTTTTAACATTTTCAGTATATGGCCAGCAGCGTTAGCTCACAACATGTTATTAGGCTGGCATGCTCCTTAACTCAGCCCACATCTCCATCTCATCTTCTCCTTCCCCATGGGACTTGTTCACAATCCCATCTCTACCTTCAGGCTGCAAGTCAGGTAAATGTAGTTCTGGAACAGTCTTCCAGTAGGAGCAGAGAGGGCAAAAAATTCCCTTCAACTGCCCTTAAAGCAAAGCTGGGTCAGGTAAGAAATGGGATCATCACATGGCTCTTGCAACGACAGCGACATCTCTGCCAGTTCTTCTATTCTTTCTCCAGGAACCACCTCTGTAGTGTAACACACTATTTCATTCAACTTGCCTGGCAGTTTATGTCACAGCTTTATTTTATTCTCTTTTTAATAAGTGAATCCACTACTTGGGAGTTGCACCAGCCAAGGGAGGCGTAACTCAGTACTTATTTACTGGGACTGCGAGCCAGCTGCTAGGAAAGCAGCCCCTGCACCAACCTACCAGCACACCTCAGGAAAAGGATGTGGGCCACCAGTGAAAGATGCAAGTGGTAGTCGCCTGTCGTACCTCTCAGTAACAGAACAAATGAATTCACAGCTCACTAGCCTCCATGCTGAGAGCATGAGGGCTGGAGTCAGACAGGTTTGTCTAAAAGAAGGGAATTTTCTATTTCAGCTATACTCTGAAAACTCTGGCAGGCATGGCTACACCTGCATGATTCTGTGCAGATGTTCTTTGCAACCGTAAGAATGAGATTCTTCTTTCTAATCAAAGAGAGGTTCTGGAGAACAAGAGAGATCTGTCAGTCTCGAGGAGTCTGTTGTGCCCCTCGGGCCATGCCCTACTTTGAGAGAAAACAACAACGTTAACCATCCGACCCCAAATACCTTCTCCTGCAGGATCTTCGTCTCTGTGTAATAGTCAATAGGATTTTTTGCGTAAGGAAGGTCTTCTGATCCATTTTTTATGTCTCTGCCCTCAAAAACTACGCTGGCACTGCTAGTTAACACCAGTTTCTGCAAGAGAGGTGAAAGAAAAACAGGTTTTTTAAAGCCTAAGACAAAAGGGTCATTATTTATGAAGGCTGAGTAAAGACAATAATAATGTTTGATCAACTAATCCCACAGATACTAAACTAAGTCTAGGAGAACACTGGCTAACAGAGGACAATCTGAAACTGCAGGTAAGAAAACTCCCACACTTTTAATTGACTCTGTCACATTGTTTAGTGCCACCTAAAGATTAAAAAAAAAAAATCTCAACAAACATCCAAGGCAGCCAATCAAGGGAAAAACATCTCCAAGAAAATCAGAGTGCCCACTTGGCTTGGCACGTTTTAGCCCTCAACACTCAAGGAGTGTTTTTAAGATATATTTGCTCATCTTTACAGTCACAGTATCACGGTAGATTAAACAAGAAAGAATTCTTATCTGGGATTTTTTTGTTGGATAAAAACGTACCCTAGTGGGTTCAAAACAGGAAGCCAGCGATGTATTTGAGTAATTACTCATGTGGTTTTAAACAAGATCTACACTGTAACAGAAAGATGACTAGATCCAACAAGTTCCAACAAGACTTGACTCCTTGCTCTGGCAGAATCCAGACTGAGCCTGAAGGCAGACACCGTGTGGCCCATTTCCTACAACAGCTTATTACACGAGGAAGGGGAGGAAAAACCCAACAAACAACCTGTGGGGCTGGGAGCCCTATGTGACAGGCATAATTTACTCCTCAACACGGTCACTTCCAGAGTTGTGCATGGACACCGTGCAAAACACATGGTTTGCTGGCAACATCTCTGCCCAGAATAAGTAAGGGATCCTCGCACGCATTGCGCTTGGAAAATTTGCTAAGAATTTAAATAAGAACTCATGTGACAGCAAAATAACATAAGGAGGAAAAAAAACCAAGCCACAACCTTGCCTGAACAGCAGCCTGGTTTCCTCTGGCTCTTTCTTTTGTGGGCAAATGACTTTCTAAACCAAATTATACGGAGATTATAGCACAAGTGTATTCCTTCTCGTTACGTGTCGGAGAATTCACACAGGTAACAGATGCCACGAATACTTCCCCTGCTGGAAAAGCTATCTTTAGAGCTGGCTCCTCGTTAAAGTGTGAAAGAATCCACTTGTCAGCTGTGGCTCTCCTGTGGGTGATTCCCAGATGTCTCACAGGACAAATTCTAATGGATGCTTTTCCTGCAGTCAGGAAGATTGCAACGTGTAGGTTTTCTGCGGCAAACATGGGCTGAGTTCACACCACACACTACAGAGTCTCTTTCTCCCACTAATTTTCACAGAACAAGTAGGAATTCAGTGTCTCAGAGATCTCTGCCCCTCTATCAAACTAGACTGAAATCGGTCCATGCTGCAAGTGTCAAAGTCACACCACCACCCTACAGCCTCCACGTGCTTTTTCTACCCTTACCTGCACTCCAGCTTCTTTGCAGGCTTCGACGACTGCTTTGGTTCCCATAAAGTTCACCTTGTAAAACAGTTCCTTGTTGTCACTTGAAGGAGCTGGTGAAGCACAATGAAACGCCACGGACACACCTCGTAAAGCAGGGAGCAAAGCCTGGAACACACATCGCATGAGACAGCAGTGAAGCAACAGCAGCAGCATTTACTCAGAAAAAATTCAAAAAGGAAGGAAAAAAAATAGGTTGCTTTTTATTCATGGAAACAAAAAATGCTAAATTTCAAGTCATTCTTTCCATAAAGGTGAGCAACTGGAACAGGATTAGCATTCAGGGCCTTCACAATGCCCTCTCCTTCCTTGGGCAAAGAAGCACTACATCATCTTTTCTTTCCAGAGAAGAACCTGGGAGCTTTCTGAGGCCTGGAGGCTGGCTAGACACAGCTACGTGCAACCTGTGCAACGCCTCCAGGCATCTCAGCGCTCCAGGCACGGCTCAGGAAGCTGCTGGAAGGAACATTTCTGCAAACAGCCACCCTTTCTGTCTACCCACGCCACGTACCTCTTTGTCGCACAGGTCTCCCAGGAAGAACTGCACTCTGTCATTGTCAAATCTCTTCTGAATATCAAACACCTTGACCACGTAACCTTTCTCCAGGAGCTGCTCCACCAGGTGCTGGCCTAAGAACCCTGACCCGCCGATCACCGTGCACGTCCTGCCAGCCTGCAGACAGGGAGAGCAGCACTTTGGCACGTGGACACACACCAACGGACTGCAGGAGTAAACTGAACGTCCTGAGATCTTGATGCGCTGGAATTTTGCACGACTAGTCAGTAGCTGATTTAATTGGAGGAGTCTGAATTCATAAATCAAAAGACTCTTCAGAATGCCTGTGCTGTCACAGTAACTTGGAAGTTCGGACACGCCAACGGTCCCCACAGCTCACATGCTGGTTGGTACTGGGCAGGACTCGGCCTCATCACCACGTGGCTCACGTAGCAGGGAGAAAGAGAGGACTGGCTGCGGCAGGCTCTGCCCTGATGGCAGAGCAAACAGGATTTGCTTCAACCACATGGCCCAGCTAATTCAGAACACTAAAACTGCCACCAGTAGCAGGGCAAAACCATTTCCAGGGCATGTGAAACTCGGATTTCTCCAACCCAAGGAGCCACCAGGTAAAGGCAAGGCTTATCCTTCTTAGTCAGTCATTAGTTCTTCCTTTCCTTTTTTAAACTTTCTAAAATCAATGGCTTGAGTAACTAATTAACAGCTTCCAGTCTGGTTCTCATCTAACTGGACTGAGACTGAAGACCTTACTGCCAACACAGAACATGCAAGTGACAAGTCTGAGGAAGCTTTTGCACAAAGAATGCCCTGTCCTGCCTGGAAACAGATTTGCTCCTTACTGTTGCTACACAAAAGCTACAACCTCTGCAGTTGCAGCATCGAGCCGAAGGGAATTTTAACCCAGGGAAACCACACAAAGATGACAATTGCTCCCAAGTTTCCAAGTGCTACGTCCTCAAACAAAGGTTCTACCACAAAGCACCCCCTACACGCAACAGGGACCGGAAGGGTTCGCTGCAGCTGCTCAGTGACACTCAAGCATAACCACTTTTTTAGGATGGTGCACGCAAAGCACAGTCTGATGGAAATAATTTTTTTAAGTTCTAGTAGGTTGGCCCAGTAGTCTATTCGGTTTTGCCAGTTGCAAGAGAGCAGATGAGACAGAAGGAGCATGTGAGTCCAAGGGCTCCAGTTCACTCTCCCTGTACCACCCCACTGCAACAGGTTTGCATTTGCTTTACTCAGCAGCATCTGGATTCCCTAAACCCCGTCACACCCCTCCGCTCTGCGGTGTGCTATCCCTGCTGAGGGGTCCAGCCTTTCCAGCTGCTCCTCCAAAGGCAGTCGCTCTGTTCCATCGATATTTTTCCTGGCTTCCTCCAGACCCTGTCTCATTCCTGATCCTCAGGGAAGGAGAGCACCCAAACTGCGCGCTGCACTTCCAGGTGCTGAACCACAGCCTCCCAGCAGCAGCATGATGCCCTCTGTCTGCCTCTACATGTCAGAACCATTTTCTACCAGTGCAGATGAGACAGTCCCTGTCTTTCCATATGACAGTTTTCCACTCGGATATCCAAGTATAAGGACAGTATTCTAACTGGTGATAAGACGACGACTATTTAAATATTCTTTCGTGCACATTTATAACACGCAACACAATCTAGCACACACCTCTTGGGAAAGTACTAAATGAACCCACTCAAGGACCAGAACCAGTAGAACTGCAGCTGACAGTGCTGCACCTGGATTAGTTAGATGCTTTAAAAAAATGCAGGCAGAAAGCCAGGCTGCACATGATTATATTGATTTTAGGATATGAATTACTACCTACCTAGTGTCGTGCTATGAGGGTACAACAGCTTGTTCATGCTCTCTACCATGACACTACATTGTTGTTTTTTGTTTCTTTGTTTCCTAAATACCTGAGATTCACTGGTCTTCCATAAGCTTCATTTGAATTAATGAGAAAAATAGTTCAGAAGGTAGAAATTTCTCTATAAATAAGAGTCACGGGTCATGCAACAGAACAGCTTAACAAATTGTACTCCTAAGAGTAACGTCCAAGTACCTCTCTAAGCTAAGCAAAATGTTGCTCTTTCCGTGTTCTAACCTCCTGTATTCAATGCAGTCATCACAGAAAGAGGTGACAACGGTCGAGTAGATCTCAGGGACCGCAGCTGGGCCCCTACATGCAGTACAAGGAATGATGTTTTAAGGTTTGGGGAAATGATTCGGGAACAACTAAGTCTCCAGACCAATTGATTTGGCAGCACTGACAAAGCCACTGATGTTCTTGAGGGGCTGGAGCATTCCTGGGTCCCTTGGGAACTAGAACAGCAGCAAACTAGTCCTTGGTAAATCGTGCTTCCCCCAGCAGTACCTCTGGAGTAGGCATTAAGGCAGAAACACTCTCCTGTCTTCTCTAGTAATGCTCACAAGAAATAGCTATAAAAACACATTTCTGCAAGACAAACCGTCACAAAGCAGCATTTAAGTCTTCAACTTACTGATCTGATGCGTGTGGCCATTTCTCAGACGATTCACGATCAACTTGATCCCTTTCAAAAAGAAGAATATAATTTTATTCACCACAAAATACTTAACTTCCTCAAGCATGCCACTAACACAAAGCAAACTTTGTGTTTAAACAGGTTTCTAGTTAGAGAAATCAAAATTTGAAGCCGTTGTGCTAAATGAGGGGAGCCAGCGGTGAGATTTTCCAGGTTTTCACATCACAGGCTGTTGATGCCACCAGTTTCATTAAAACACCCTCTTCCTCCTAGCAACAGCCAACAAAATTCCCAACTCAGCTGGGATCCTGCTGCGTGGGGTATAACTGAGAGCCAGAAAAAGACAACACACCTATTTAGATCTGTTTCCAACACAAAGACAAGCTGCACACACAGACCTTTGATGGCTTTAGGGTCACTTTAAACCATCACCATCACGATAAACTCCCGCTTTGGAGGCCAATTTGATTTTCCTTATTCCCAGTCAGTGCTTCCCACTACCTCCTGCTGCTCATGCACCGAGATGGATCACGGGGGTGACTGGCTGAAAATTAATCATTTTCTGCCTGGGCTGGTGTTCAGGGGAGCAGCTCTCTGACCCATCCCACTTCCCAAACACTGGTGCCAACATGAGCAGATGAGATCCAACTCCATGTTGCTGTGAAGTTATCACATTTATCACACGCCTCACGCAAACACGTCTGCTGGACTGGCTCACTCTGCCAGCTATGCAGTTTAGCACTCATCATATTTTGGTTTTCTGAAAAGCCCTCTGAAATGGCAAGGGAAAATAAAAAAAAAAAAGGCAGGATTGGTGCC